CTGTTTTGATAGCCTTCTCTTTCCTTTGCATAAACTCGTCATCCTGCAAGACAATTAATTGACACAATTAAAAACCAAAAAAATTAAGCTTAAGCCTCAACACTACTAATGCATTTAGCACGCAGACTCGTCAACTGGTTCCTAAATGAGCTGCTCAATTATTCAGTTAAGTACACTTAACTCTACAATTGCATCAACAGTCTGTTTGTTCTCTGTTCGTACAGCACTGCTACAATAGGGTCCTACCCAAGACTGGGGATCCTTGGTGAAATCGCAAGGCAAATTAACATGGACTTGTTGCAGAGAAAAATAAGTGTTTCAGTATACAGTAACTCCTCACTTAACGTTGTAGTTATGTTCCTGAAAAATGCAACTAAGTGAAACAACGTTAAACGAATGCAATTTTCCCATAAGATATAATGCAAATGCGGGGGATTATGTTCCAAGGAAATTTGGGGGTGGGGGGGCAAACAAAAGGCGTTATATACTGTACAGTACTGTACTGTGGTTTGGAAGTGCCCCTGGCTTACCCCACACAGGCACAGCCCACTGCAGGCAAGAACGCTAGGAAGCACCTTCGCAGCAGCAGCTTCCCTGGAGAAGAGCAGGTGCCAACTTTGCTGGGGGATGCTCCAGGTCCGCCTCTTTCTGTCCCCGCTCCATTCTAGGCCCACCTCTTCCCACCCCCACTCCACCTCCCCTCCGGAGCAGCCGCATCCCCGCTCCTCTCCCTCCCCCCCCCCAAAGTCCTAAGCGCCGCCAAACAGCTGTTTGGCATTGCTTAGGACTTTCTGGGAGGGAATGGGAGGAGTGGAGATGCAGCGCTTCCCTGCTCCTCTCCCTCCCTCCCAGAAAGTCCTAGGTGCCGCGAAACAGCTGTTTGGCAGTGGGGGAAGCACTGGGAGGGCGGGGGAGGAGGTGGAGAAGAGGAACTTGTGCAATGCTCCCTTGTAAAGTCACTGGTCTTCTACAGAATCTTACAAGCAGTGGACAGAGCATGCAGCCAAACAATGTTATAAGGGAGCATTTTGCACAACTTTAAACGAGCACGTTCCCTAATTGAGGAGCGACATAACTTTGAAACAACGTTAAGCGGGAGGACATTAAGTGAGGCGTTACTGTAATGGTTACTTAGATTTCAGTTTGGGAAGGAGGGTTGTCAGAATTATTATTTCCATTTTAATGAGGATACTGAGGCAGAGAGAGGCTCAATGACTTGCCCAATGTCACATAGGAAGTCTGTATCTGTAACAGAGCGGGGAACTGAAACCAGTTGCAGCCCATCACCCTAGCCACTGGGCCATCCTTCCTCTCACAATTCTGTATTCAAAATACAGCTGTTTTAGGAAGTGGATCTATTATTAAAGTTTAGACATTTGAGATTTTTAACCTCTCTTTTATTACCACTCATCCAGCATTATCAAAGGAACCTATGGGGTTTAGGAGTCCAACTCTGAATGAACATCAATGGGATTTGTGCAGCTAACTCCCTTAGTGGCATTTGAAAATTTCAGACATATGCCAGTCTGTATCAGCAATCTCACCGGTTAACCAAACCAATTAACAACTGAAATAGCAACTGCACCTCCCCAAAATGGAAAAGGAGGTTTAACTCTAGATGTCCATAATATTCCTAGCACAAGTGGTCTATGGAAAGACAACACAACAGTAACCTCAGACAACCAATTAAAATGATCAGGTGAAAGATGTAACTAAATGTTTGTAAACTCATACTTCCTTAAAGACAGTGCAATTGAATACCACAATTTCATAACAAGTTCAGATGAAGAGTGGGGGAAGATTGGCAAGAGGTTATAAAGTTTTCAGTTACATATTCAGAGATGATGTTTCACAACCTCAAGGAAATAAAAAGGGATTGCACAGCAAATCAGCCTATCACACTAGAATTCTACTCCACACAGTTTAAGCAAAAGTAGTCTGTTACGCAACTGTAAACTCCTCAGTATTTCATTTCTATAAGCCGTTGTGAAGATAACTAATGTACTGACAGAGAACTAGTCCCAATGGATTTGTTCAGAAAAGGACATATTACATATCTCAACCTCCAGGCTAATATGACTAGCATTATCAGAGATATTTTGCCCAGAGCTGTTGCAACTGTAACAATTTGATATTGTCACTTTCTGGGCTGAAACAGTGGCTCTAAGCAAAGGCTGGTAATATCACACTTATGAACTATTTGGGGTTAGCAAGAATTCATCTCCCCCGATATACGCAGATGGACCTTCAATTTGGATTCTGGTGTTTACTTGCTTTTCTAACAGTAACCTTCATAGTTAGACCCATCCAGTTATAGACTAAAAATCATGGCCAGATCCTCAGCTAAGGTAAATCAGCACAGTACTATCAACTTCAATGCAGTTACACGGATTTACAGCAGCTGAGGGGACAGCCCCATGTGTGTACAGACATATTTTGAGAGAAAACAAAAAGATTTAGCTAGGTCTTACCTCTGGTAGACTACGAGTTTTCTGAAACTGGGATATGGAATAGGAGCGGATATAGTCTCCCATTTCTTCTCTAGTTTCTATTGCACGTTTCACCAGCCACTAAAGAGAATATTGATACTATTATGCAACAACTTATTTCTAAGTATTTTGTATGTGAAAAAAATCAAATCAAAACTCAAAGTTTTTATGGATGTGTGACATCTCAGTGATTAACTCCATAAATAGCTCAATAACATTAGCTATTCTATTATCTTCATCTTCCCTATTTTTGTACATAGTTTATGACTCTGTTGAGTTTTTAATAAGTAACATACATACTGTGTCTGTAACCCAGGCCTTCCCACACCCCCTGGACTCATAGACATTAAGGCTAGAAGGGACCATCATGATCATCTATTCTGAGCTCCTGCACATCGCAGGCCACAGAACCTCAGTCACCCACTCCTATAATAGGCCCATAACCTCTGTCTGAGTCACTGAAGTCCTCAAATCTTGATTTAAAGACTTCAGGCTACAGAAAATTCTCCATTTACTCTAGCTCAAACCAGCAAGTGACCTGTGCCCCACATTACAGAGGAAGGTGTAACACCCTCACCCTCCCATCTCTGCAAATCTGATCTGGGAGAAAATTCCTTCCCAACCCCAAATATGGTGATCAGATAGACCCTGATACGTGGGCAAGACCCACCTGGGAAAGAATTCTCTGTAGTAACAGAGCTTTTCCTATCCAGTGTCCCATTTCTGGCTGTTGGAAATATTTGCTAATAGTCGTCACGTGCACTCCCTACAGACAAGCATGACTGAAGGAGTAGGGACAGAGTGAGTGCCCTGATCCTACATTGTGAATCACATGGGTCATTGACTTTAACAGGTCTCTGTGTAGGTGCAATAGTCCCCCAGAGTAAATCACAATGCAGAACCAGAGCCTTAGTTTGTAAGTTCCTTTAGGCAAGGACTGTGTCTTTCTAGGTTTTCTGAGTCACCTAGCACATTCTGAGCAACATTATTTGTATAACAACGCATTGCAGAACTAGATATATTTACATATGATTTATCCCATATATTCATGTCTGCTATTTCACTAAGAACTTTTTAAATTCTCACTGTAAATTTATTCTCATGGATTTTCCAAATTAGTGACAATTACTGAAAAAATGCTGAGTTCCACATCAAAATCCCATTGCCTCTCTCGCCCAAGATAAAAAGCCAATTGTCAAAGTTGATTTCGAAAGAGACAAGGAAGTCAACACAATTACTAGGAATATTCATTGGAATTTTGCCTGTATTGACTGATTTTTTTAATTCAAATATTTAGATTTCACTCAATCTCAGTCCAAAAAGCAAAATATAAAATAAAACCTAAGAAAACTATGTGGGACAGTTTAACCACAAAGCATCAAACTAGTAACTGGAATGTTTTAGCTTTTTCCCTTGCTGTTCATCTTTAAAGAATTTCTGAGCAGAAGCAGGCTGACTCTTCCCATCCCCCATTTTTAATTCTTTCCTTTCTTCTCTCTCTTTACACCTTCTGATCCCCACTTAAAAAAAAAAAAAAAAAAAAAAACAACACAAACTTGAGTGTCTTTTAATCTCATTTATACCCTGTGTTTTGAGCCACTTTCCTTGTAACTTATTCCATATATTTCTTACACTTTGCAAGGAATATCTTACTGCACCAGGACCCTACATGGGCTCGAAAAAGAACCACTAGCAGATTCTAAAGCAAGATTTCTTCCAACTGGCAGAATGACTGCATGCAGAATCCAGCCCAATGTTGCAGGTAATCCAGACAATTTTGTTCTTCATGTGGGTCAGAATGTGCTTTAGAATTCCATTTTATATAAAGACATCCTGGTGTTTTAAAATATTTACCCTTAAAAAAAGTTTTTAACCTGATATTTCATTCCAAAGCAGAACAAACTTGCAGAAGGTATAAAGTTCAGCAGTCACACAGGTATTAAAAGTCCTATGTAAGTTTTAAGGCTTTTGCTTTGTTTAAAAAAAAAAAAAGCGTGATGTACAACAAAGCTATTACCTGTACAACAGGGAATATGTGAATGAAATCCAGTCCCTGGATCTGATGCGGCTCCAAACGATGGGGGCACTTCATTTTTGGTAAGACAGACACAATTTTCTCTGTTAAGGCACTATTTTAAAAGAAAAATATCAAAGAGTAAACAATAAAATGGTTTAAATTTTAAAGAATGACATTTCCAAAATATGCAATGTTGCTGTAGCCATGTCGGTCCTAGGATACTAATTTCCAAATTACGTAGTAGTTTGAAAGTGCCCTCTATTGGATGAAACTGGATAACACAATCTGGGAAAAAACCTCTTGTTTTATGAGCACAGCTGTGAAGTCGTATTTTTTAAAATTAATAAGCCTATTGCTTGTTTCTTAATTTCCATTACTCAACATCAAATTTAAAATAGCTTAGGCTCATCAGATGCAGTGCACGCATGGTCGTGAGGGATATCTATTTTATACATATGTTTCTGTTACCATGCACATACATTTAACTGCTCAAAGATAGAGAGACTAACTTTAAAACATAATTATATATTTTATCAAAGAAAGTTCAATTTCAGGATGAAAAATCTGAAACTTAAAACTGTCTGAGTGGATCTCTGCTGTTGTTACTAATTAAGCGCCCTCTCCTACAAAAACTATGAAATAGCTAGAATATTGTAAAAGTGGAATATCTACCAAGAATGCTGCTTACATGTACAAAGTCCAATCAGCTGGAGTATATATAATCCAGTTTGCTGAGAAAAAGTGTCCTTCTGCAGCTCATAAAAGTGCTGTTAAAGTGAAAGGTAGCTTAACAGGGGGATAACTCTACTGGGGTTCAATCTTGCACCACTGAATTAACAGGAGTTTTGTCACGGATTTCAGAATAAAGCATTCTTTCCTGACCACAAAGAATTAAGTTGATATACAACGAATTGGTGCTCATGCTCAGGAAGTATCAATCTTTACAGACAACAACTTAAAGGAGTCACTGATGTGATATTTTTTCCCAAAGGAAAAAAAAAATAATGAGTGTCCAGATACTGATATCAGTGGCAGAGACTATCATCCTAAAGAGCTGCTGATGTTTTGAAGGAAAATTGCCCAGATGGATGGGAGAGAGTGGGATGGAAAAGAGAAAAGATCCAGAAACTGGGGATAGTGCCTGAAGAGCCAATGTTGATTCAAAGAGAAATAGTTCAATGCGAATTTTGTAATTCCTCTTATAGATGTCTCACCATGTGATGTAATTTCCACTATGTCAATGTGTTAATGAGATGCATTAGTGTTCTTTCTTTGTACAACCAAGAGTACATGCAATCCGTTTAAAATATTTTTGTCCCACAGAGGGACAAGAAATCATGTAACAAACATAACTGTGATGTTAATTTATGCTTCCATACTTATTTTGATTACATTTATAATAGAAGACCCAAGATTTTTATTATTAGAACATTGTCTAATCAGAGCTGGCAAAATGTGCACTGGACAACAACATCAACAGAATACTTGCTAATTAATCCCTATTAACACCACCCAAGAGCTGCATGGAAATATTGAGAGAGACTACCAGTTTAAAAGAAACAATACATTTTAAAAAAACAAATATCTTTATTTATACTACTAACACCTTAGATTATTAAACATCCAAATAGTGTTGTTATAACAATTTCTGCTATTTTCTCACTGTTTACTTTTTGCATTTTCTTCAGCTAGAACAATTAAAACAGACTATAAAGTTTCACTTTGATTCTTGTAGACTAGCACAGTCCTTTATTTTTGGAGTTCCAAATATTCCACGGGAATGTTTAAATTCAAATTTCTCTATTAAATTTTAAAAAAAAATCAACTAAAATGTTTTCATTAAAGTAACAGTATCAAGGGTGACTATTTCTTTTTAAGGACACAACTGATTTCTTTGTCCTGCTACCGTTAAAACTAACATCTAAGATTTTTATGAGAGATAAGAGGAAAAAATACATTCTATTTTCTGTTTCTTTGTACATTTAAGAGTACTTTGTGTATAGCTCATTTCCCCTGGTGATGTGGATGTCTCTCAAAGCAACAGGAGATAAAAATAACTTTTTTTTTTTAAAAGTAACATGATTGTAAACATCACTGAAAATCAAGAGGGGAACACAGAGGCAGATATAGTAGCTGAAACTATATTCCACTTATCTGAAGTGGAAAAATGGGCTTTTAATGCAACTTGCCTGGCACTGTCCTTCCTTAGTTACTTCCTGCAAATTTTAATTGTGGTCTACAACAGTGGGCGCTGCGGAAGCGGCGCGGGCAGAGGGATGTGCTGGCTGCCCTTCCTGCAGCCCCCATTGGCCTGGAGCGGCGAACCGCGGCCAGTGGGAGCCGCGATTGGCTGAACCTGAGGACACGGCAGGTAAACAAACCGGCCCGGCCCGCCAGGGGCTTTCCCTGAACAAGCGGCGGACCGGCTTTGAGAACCACTCGTCTACAAGACCCCAAGTTTATCAAGAAACATACTGCACTTTAAAAATGTTGCATTGCCCTTCTAAGGAGAGCTGCCATGGACTAATTTTGCATGATGCAAGGACTGGCTAGGTGGCAATCAAGTGCTGCCTATAAAAGGCGGCAGCAGCAGGAAGAAGGCTCTTTGGGTTTCCACCCACCATGTGAATGCTCTCCATCCTCCCTTCCTCCACAGTTTGGGGTACTTGTGAGCGACTTCCCTTTCACAAAGGGCTTAGATCACAATGTCATGCTGTAGATTTTATTGGTTGATCCTTGCAATTCTAAGTTTGAGACCACAAAAGAGGACCAAAGGCGATTTACAGTGAAACTTGTCTTCCGCAACAGACAACTAATTAACATGCATCATCTTCCAAGAGACAGAGAATTGAATTATACTAAATACATGGGAGCCTTTGGGAAGTGGTCTCATAAAACAGGACATTTCTCAGTAAAACTGATCCCCTGTACAGGTTTCACATACATAAACATGATGGTGATTTGTATCAAATTTTTTACAATATGAAAAACCAAACCATGGTTCCCACTTCATCAACTTACATTTTCTGACCAATTGTAGAGTTTTCCTGAAACAATAGATCAACATCAATGTCAAAGCTGCAAGTAGTGATGCACCAGGTCATGCCACCAACTACCTAAAAATGAACAAAAATACGGTTATTTTCACTTTACGTTTGAGAGGAGAAATTTTCAAACAAATATGATTTAAATCCAACCAATATGGCTTCACGTTTTTAGTCTCCTTTCCCACCTCCAATACAGCACGATTCAAATGCCATCTCATATCTCATCAAAATATAGTGAAGAGAAGAGAAATACAAGACCACCATTTGTGATGTTTCATTTTATTTTTTAAACTTGATTTCCTAGTTTTCTTGAGACATTGAGTTCTCTGACATGCAAGTAGATGAAAATCCAAGTACACTGTCAGCCACGAAGAATGGAATAAAGATTTTAAAGAACTGATGAAATGGCTGTTTTAGAGATCGTGAGCTATACAAACTCAATAAACAAGGATTGGAACGTGTGTTCTCATTTACCTAATCCAAGTTTTCCCACTGCTATTCTTTTATTATTTGCATTAGAAGTAGCACACAAACCCCCCACAACATGCTAAGCACTATACAAACAGTGACAGAAAGCCCCTGACCTGAAGAGGTCTCTATCTTAGGCCCCAACCCTTCAAATATTTATGAACATGCTCAATTCAAAATACCAGAGCAGTCTCTTTGATTTCAAAGGGTCTACTCACTCAAAGTTAACCATATGTACATATTTGCAAAACCTAAATACACAACAGACAAAGAATAGAAGAGGTAACAGGCACAGAGAGGTGAAGTGACTTACCCAAGCTCTCACAGCAGGTCAGTGGCAGAATCTAAATAGCACTCAGGTTTCCTGACTTTCAGTCCAGTACCCTTTCTACTACACCACACTGCCTCTCTAATATAAAACACTCAGCATAGTTATGAAATAATCCTTGTATATGAGTGTCTAGTTTGTTTCTCATACTTGACTGTCTAGTGTGACAGTCGATAGAAGGGGGGGTATTTTTATTATAACAATATTTGTTAGTTAATCAAACAATTAACAAAAAGTCCTATAAAATATTCTATACCATAACAGCCTACAGAGTTTCACTACAAACACTTATGTATGTAAATAACGCCACAGCAGGATCAGGATACAAGGCGCCAGTCCCACAACTGGATGTGTGTGAGTACCACTGAAGTGTTCATTTCCACAGATCCAGTTATAGAATCAGGGCCTTAGATAGTCTTCCTTAGGCACACTTATATTTGTGCTTGTAAAGTGCCGTGACTGCCTATGGCGCTATAAATATAATAGCTTGCAGTTTTAACAAGCAAAGGTTTATAGGACAGCACAACTATCCTGTGTACAAGCAAATTATTGAAAGAAATGAAAGAGCCCATTTTCAAAGGCTCTGCCATAACTACCAGGGATGCATTTTCAAAGCAAGGTTCAGGGATTTATCATCAAGTCAAATGTTAAACCAACAAAGGTACCTCTCTAAGCACATACTCTGTACAGCGTGACTTACTGCCTGTCTTTGAGGATGAAGGTCCCTATAACTGCCTTTCCACAGAATTACCTAACCCTTCCCAAAAGATTTCCAGCAACAGTCCAAAAACAGCTTCACTAGATAAGTTGTTCCATTCTTTCATGAAACTCCACACCTAATAACTTCCTTAACCTTCTTTCAACTTGCCCCCATTACTCCTCATTTTCAGTATGAATAGTACCTTTTACAATGATCATACCACAACGCAAACAAGTTTTCATATTAAACAAATTTAGGTCCTTGTTTGTTTAGCCATGAAACTCTAGTTCTAGCTAAATGCCCCACACACCCACTTCAGAATTTTAGGCACTGATTCTGCAAATAGTTATGTATGTGCTTAGCTTTATGCATGTGAATAGTCCCATTGAAGTCAACAGGACCACTCATATGAGTAACTGCAGAATTGGGTGCCTTAGTTCCCTGAGACAGGGACTCAGTTTTGCTCATATCTTCACTACATTAGGTGCACTATATAAATAATAAAAATAACTTGATTTGCTGATAATCTCCCCTCCTCCTTACTACCTGGAACTATTAAGCTGAATTTGAAAACCATATTTAGTAAATACAGTAAACTATGTCTAATTAATAATCCTGGATTATAATCTCACCTTATCAAAGGGTGATAACCCTTTGATTCTTGCCCTGAAATACCCAGCTGCCACCAGCAACTCCAAAATTTCAGTCAATTTGATGTTTTGTTCTTCATCTTCTCTGGTTTCAACCTAACAAACAAAGATACAATTAACCCTAATTTTAAAATATTGTATTCACTCTACTCCTCCAACCACCCAACATTAGGACTCAAAATAA